AGCCCTTTTCATCTGATTCAATGATAGTTGATCTGGATGCAGATGTTAAATACAGTATAACTGATATTATACAGAACAAATGGAGAATGATAGGCGTTTGGGATATGGAGGCCAAACAACTTCAAATATTTACTGCTGATAATTTTATAGAAAATGCCATCTGATTAATAATCTCTTATAATCTCTTATTTTCTCCTAGCCTTACTGAGTGAGTTAAAGGCTTTTGACAGAATCCATCCTTTAGGCCTCCTATCCCTTGGAGTCAAGAAAACTTCTGCCATATTCATGGGGATGACTAAACTTTTTTAGCCACTATATTGAGCCAAATTTGATTATTAGTGAAAGAGTCCAGACAAGATGTTTCTAAAAGATTCACTGGCTCCACTAGATTGTGAAAACAGGAAACTAAATTCCACTAATGCTCACTCTTTCAAGTTGCTAATTATCAGGTATGAATAGGTCATTATCAACTATTCTGATGGGAAAAGATTACGCCAGTGCTAAATCACTTGCCTAATGATCTGAAGAATGTACAGTTTGTTCTTGGAGGAAGCCTCCCACTTGGCTTGGCAACAAATTAATAGATAAATAGTATATTGTCTTCTTCCAATATCATAGTAAGATCAATGGCTTCAGGGAGGCATGCCTGGTTTTGCTCTTCTGGCTTATCCAAAAATTTGCAAAATAAATGCAGGACCCGTTTTATGGAGCCTATTCAATGAAAAAAACTGAAGATAAAGAATATGTGGACTACTGCACATTACATGAGAATTTTTGCATTCTGAACTTTGTACTCAAAGTTCAGTCTAGAAAAAAGTTGATTTTCCTCATCACCAGTATCAACTTTCCTTCTCTATGGAAACTGGGTAGAAACAGCCTAGAAGTCAGGGCATCATATTCCGTTTTCTTCAATGTAGGTTCCCATTAGCAGAGTTTATTAATTAATTAATTTATTAAATTTGAATGCCTCCCATCTCCCCCAGAGGGTGATTAGTTGGAATAAGGGGGAACAATCCAAGAAGCACTTTATTTTGATTTTACTTATGACCTTCTTTTAGGATGCATGGGAGTTGCATCCCAATTATCTTCACAAGAGCTATAAAAAGAATATCAAGGATTAGTTCTACTACGCTGTTTTTGTTGCATAGTCCTGTCCCCAGTTTTCAAGGAACAAATTCAGAATTTCCTGTCCAAAGGAGTAATACAACTAGTTCCTGACTTCCAAGGTCATGTTGGTTCCCATTCATGTTATTTCATGGCACCAAAGAAAGACAGTGAATAATGTCCTGTCTTCAGTCTCTAGTGACTTTATACCTTCCTGTAATTGTTGGACCAGTCTGCTACATCTTTCATCCCTTTCTACTTCTTACATGATTAATAGCCAAAGTTCATCAAGACCTGTGAGATCTCATCCTGATAACCCTCTGCTAGCCAAGATAAATATGGTTCCTAGTTCTACAGCTTATTTTCAAGCGTTATTGGAGGCTTCTGACTTTACCAGGCCTCATCACAATGAGACAAGATGCTCTTCACCAGTTGTTTGACTTCTTTTGAACATGGGGTTAAAAAGGAACAGCAGGTGACAGGTATGGGTAGAGGGTCAGCCCTCTTTCTTGCACTTCACCCTGCCACCATTTCCACCCTGCATTTATCCAGTGTTGTTTATGCTTTTTAACAGCTGGCAGGCACCTGAAGCAGTGGGGAGGATGAACTCTCTCAAAGGCTCCAGGTCTGGGATCCTACAAAGCAGCTGATCTCTAGGATTAGAGCCTCCTTTCTCCCATCTCCTGCCCTTTCACTCAGCCCAGGTAGTTGATCTTCAGGCTGGAAGAGGTGGAAGGTGAAGGAGGCTTAGCTTCTGGCAGATGGCTAAACCAAGGAGAAGTGGGGAAAAGATTCCAAAAGCAAAACTAGAAAGGCTTGACTGGCTAAGAAACATTTGGAAGCTGTTATTTCTGCCAAAGATTTATTAGAGTACTTACTGAAAGGGTGTCTAAATTTGCATCTGCTATATTAGCTGTTATTTCGAATCTGAAACAATGTTTCCTGGCTTGGCTGTGTTTTAAATTATACTTTATTGCAACAAGATTATTTTTAAACTCAATTAGTATATTGAAAATGGTAATTTGTAATAAAAAATTATATCTAGAATAATATGTTTATAGGCTATCTTGGTTTGTACTATTTTGGATTTAACAGTACTGTTATAAGCAAATGTGTAATATTTGGATTTGATGCCATGTTTATTTCAAACAAGTATTTAAAATTCTTTTTTTGTAGGTTACAGGATTTCCTTTACAGATGCCATACCTAGATATCCAGTCAATAATTGAGGCTGTTTATCAGACAGGAATTCATTCTTCAGAAATTCCCTATACAGAATTTGCTCTCGCTGTGTATATTCATCCTTATCCAAATAAGATTTTATCTGTTTGGATCTACTTAGTATCTTTGGTTTGTCATCAGTAACTAGTAGTAACTGACAAGCTTCTTCAGGAATTATTCAGTGCATCCATGAGTTTGATATTTGTGATTTCTGAATTTTTGTTCTTGTAGGTAAGAAACTAGTCAAAAACATTGTTTAAAAAACCTATTTGCTACTTCATTCTTTTAAAGTAATAAATTTATTTGATTTTTCTTTCTATAAATATAATAAAGAAAAATCTAATAAAATATATTTCAAGTTTAAACATGTAAAAGTATTCTGTGTCTTTTTGTAAATTCACAATTACATGGACACATCCATGTAGGGATCTTGGGAACAGTCTACAAGAAGTTTGCCATTGCTGTATTCTTGGATATTTTTTTACTTCTCAATCTACAGCCTTGGATTTTCTCATGGCCTGTCACCCAACTATTGACTGGGCCCACCTCTGCTTAACTTCTGGATCCAGACAAACTCAGCACTCATTTCTTTATAGGATAGTAGAAGTGCCTTTTGCAAAACTTTCATTCATTTATTTAAACTGGCTGCCTGCTTGTTATACAATTCTGGGTGGCAAACACCAAGTTAAAAATAACAATAGCCCATCAACAAAAACTGAAACACATCACGCCTGTGACAACACACGTACCCATATCAATAATCCCCTAAAAATGGGCTCAGCTACCTACCTGGTCCATTGCTTGGAGGAAAAGCCAATTTTTTTAATGCCTTATGAAAGGCCATCAAAGTTGGGGCCATCAGGAACTTGGATATGGGAATATGACGTATCCTGAGGTTTATCTTTGTGCGAATAGAATAAAACCCGTATCTTGAAATTTAATTCTGTAAGGTAAACATTCATATACACATTGCCTGTGTTCTTATAAGCTCTACAAAAAGCTGGTTAAAAGATATACCATGAGTGTCCAAACATCTTACCCTCCTTGTCTGTGGCTCTTTAATCAAGATTTGTGACTTACTCTGCAGTCTGGACCCTAAATGGCCATTTTAGATTTCTGAAAGCCAAATATTTTTAACTTATAACAAAAGTGCTTTACAAGTCCCAGTTTCAGGAAGTCTGAAATTGCAGCCAATTTAGATTTGGTTGACACAGTAAGTCATAATGTCTGATTACAGAGCCATATGTGGAAAGAAATGCGTGCATGTGTTCAGTAACCAGGTTTTTCAGCTTAAGCTTTATAATATTAAAATAGGTACATTATATTAAAGGGGTGTCACATGTAGATTCATGAAGCATGCATAATACAGAATATTGATAGTGTATGTCAAAGTGGTCTTATATTTGTGGAGATTAGCTCAAATGGAAGGAGTTGGAATCTACCTCTATTTCATTAAATATTTTCCCTAGCTCTCTACTGTATTTAATCTAACACATAATGTCAGTACCCATAACCTTGTTCAAATGGAGTGCTAAACTGGTTTAATATTTATGAACGACCATTAAGTTAATAAGAGACAGTTTGGTGCAGTGGTTAAGGTGCTGGCCTAGAAACCAGGAGGTGGTGAGTTCTAGTCTCGCCTTAGGCATGAAAGCCGGCCGGGTGACTTTGGGCCAGCTGCTCTCTCTCTCAGCCCAACTCACCTCACAGGGTTGTTGTTGTGGGGAATATGCGAGGAAGGAGTAGTAGTAGGTATGTTCTCTGCCTTGAGTTATTTATAAAAATAATAAAGGCTGGATAAAAAAAAGTTCATGAGCATTCCTTTTATGTTTAAATTTAAAGTACGTTTATTGGATAAATTCACACCCTCGGCAAACTATGGTTAATCTTAGCTTAGATTTATAATACAATTTGGTTCATTTTCCTAAACTATAGTTAATATTAACTACAGTCAAGGCCCCAGATACAACCCCAAATCCTTGTCAACTGAAAGTGGAAGCAAAGCTGCTGAACCCCTCCTCTGAGCAGCACTGAGGAAGTGGAAGCTCAAAGCTTATACACAATTTAATATAGCCAAACGAGATAATATCACGACTGCTAAATATTTCTGTACTGATCTCTATATTGATGTTCTTTATAATATACTGAAATGTGCTTATATTTTATGTCAAAGAATTCTGAAATATAAAAATTAGTCAACTGATCATTGTTCAGTAGAAAAAATGCAGCTACACAATATGCTTCCAAGATGATTCAATAATCTACATTTCTGAACCTTCCAGAAAAGCTTATCAATGATATAAAATTGAAAAATGACTGCAATTTCTGCATCAACCAACAATATTTCGATTATGGTTTATTAATAACTTCAAGAATACTTCATGATACTGCTTGGACCCATCCATTCAAAGCATAATTTATTTCTTAGTGTAGATGATGTGTCAGGTTTGATTTTTCTGTATATATGTATAGTAATAAAGAATCCATCCCTCTGATGACAATCCAGAAAATCTTTTTAGATAAAATATTGCTTAGATGCCTGGGTACTGCAGAAAAAAGAAGTCTTTTTTAAGGGCATCTTGCACTGCTAAGAAGCATAGTTGTGAGCTGCAAAGGGGCTACAATTACAATCTTGTGATCTTGACCTTAACATTAAATTTATACCATTTGCACAGGATGGCCACTTGGTCAGAGATTGTTGGGCCAGTCAGACACACAATCAGGGAACACAGCCCATTGATTCGGAGAGGACTGCTTGCTGCATGGCGAGAAGGCGGCCTTTTAAAGGGAACTGAAGTTACCCAATCTTCATATTTGCAACGAAGAGGCACCAACAAAAGGAGAGTTGCTGATGGTTTATTGGCGTTTTGCCATACACTTCTTCCCCTGTAGCATAATCTGAATCAGAATTACAAGGATGAGTTTTATAAATAAGTTCAGAATACACATTCTGTGTTAGCTATTGTATGAATTACTAATGTTATTATAGATATGGTTCCTTGTCTTGTATGATGCAGATGTTCTCTGCAATTACTGACAAATGGCAATGGCTGCTATACAACTAATAGCCAAATATTTTGGATTTTTTTTCCTCTGAAGTTATAAACTCTACATGTCACCATATACCCAATGGTGCTACACAATAGGGCTGTGCAATGTTTCAAATTCAGTTCCAAAAAGGTGCTTTGAAGCCCATGGGAGCATGAATAGAGTATCTGTCTGCAACTCCTTAAAGCAGCTGTGCAATTCCAGTAAAGGAGGCAGCTACTTTAAAAACTGCAGATAGATACTACATTCTAGAACCACTATGTGCTAGATTATGCTGTCTTTTGAGATGGATATTATTAGTGGTTGGCAATTGTTTCAGTGCTGTAAAGGAGGCAGCTACTTTAAAAACTGCAGATAGATACTACATTCTAGAACCACTATGTGCTAGATTATGCTGTCTTTTGAGATGGATATTATTAGTGGTTGGCAATTGTTTCAGTGCTTTCTCTGTATTTAGTTTGTTGCTGTAAGCTGCTCAGACCTCTGGAAGGAGTGTCATATAAACCATAGCAAATAAATGTCCTATTCCACAAGCATCTCGAGAACTGGACCTCTATGAGGTAGTTAAGTACGTATGCCACTACAGTTCAGACATATATGATTGCTGAGATTCATGCAGTTCAAAAACAAAAACAAAAGCTTGTTGCAAACTCAGATATGGCCATCTAGTAGTATATAGACCCTACCTAGAAGTTTAATTCATGTAAGTGGAGCATTTAGTTGTTTTTTTTAACTAGTTCTCCTAACTGCTTACTTGGAAGTCACCAAGTAGGGTGAATTCGCTGTAAAATGTTATCAGCAGCACACTCCTCTGTTTGGATGGCCACTAATGGAGGTCAGAGAGACTTAACATCTTCCTTGCATCTAGGTTTTTAACCCCAAATGACACAATGCCAACATTATTGAACATTCTTCTCAGAGCTGTGCAAACCCCTTGAAAGTGGTGCTTTGGAAATTGCTGGAGCAAAGATGAAGCACATAATTTTCATACCCTAATGATTCCTTTTCAGATACATACTGTTCCATGTCTGCATTTATCTATAGCGAATTTAATTTAGAATAATGTCTAAGTCAACATACACCAACTTGGGAATTGATTTTTGGAGGTGAGGTGTCATTTTTTTCAGTAATGTTCTTTGCGCCCAATCAGATATGGACTTTGCTCAAAGAAAAAGAATGGGGTTTCCTGTAACTGTATTTTCTTACATGTAATAGTGCAAATAGCATTGCCTGGCAGAATTAAAATACAACTAAACAATTTTTCTATATGGTTGTGTTTTCAAGAGTATTCTAGCAGAAAGTGTATGTGGATTCAGTATCATTCATAGTTATGATCATTTTCTATTTCTTTCTTTGTGTCTTTTCCGGACAACGAAGATTAGTGAAGTACAAGAGTTCAGACTTTTTGATAATTTAAAAAAAAACAACCTCTTCCTGTTTCTTTTCATGTCTGTTGTATTATTATAGTCGAAAATAAACCTGGAAGGCGGGGCAATATAATAATTATGAATGTAACTTTATTCAAGCACACACACAAGTTACGCAAAACTATTTTTATTTTTAAAAGAGTGCATGGCACTCACCTGGTTTTTTCTTTCTCAATGTGTATTTCTTTCATCATGACACACATTTTAATTCCTGCAGTAGGAACTTCAGTAGTGTGTGGATTCAGTGAAAATTGACCAAATACTTATAATAGGAAATGTTGTACAGTGCATATTCTATTGCCAATATTAATCTATAACATCAAACTCAAAAGGCTAAATAATAAATTAAAAAAGTAGTGAGCCACAAATCTAGTAACAAGTAGTGGATCTATTTTTAGCAAGGAAGTCTAATGACTTAAATACCTTAAATAAGATAATTCCATTTTATGTGAGCTTTGCTGTTTTAACTAGACAAATTACCTCTCCCACCACAATTCCAGTGTTAATTATTAGCTAATGTTTGAGTGTAAAGGCCTGAAAGATCATTTTCAGATGTATTAGATGTCTACTTTGCTCTCTCATATATGGAGGATGAAACTGAAGGCAACGTAAAAATTTTAGAAACAATGTGCTGTTATTTCAAGTTGTGGATCTCCACAAAATTGTACATTCAAAGTATTATTGAGGTAGTTAAAGTATGGAGTGTTTTATGAATTGTATTGCAAATTGAAATAAGTATAATTCCTTTTCTGAAGTATTTTGCAGTCCTTCATCCCCACATAAAATGAAATCATGAGAAATTACATCATGTAAGAAGACACCTCAGACACTCAACTCTGTTACCTAATCAATTTTTCCCCTCTTAGACATGCAAAGGGAAACACAGTAACAATAAAACAGGCTTAGGAAAGAAGTAGCATGTCATTCCCTAGCATATAAAATGTATGTTTTCAGGATGCTATACTTCTTTCTCTCAAAACTCCCCATTTTTGTAAGGAGACACACACAAAATATATTATGGCATAAAATAATTACCACCACAGAGGATAGCTTCTCCTCCAAATTAAACAATATTTTCTCATAGCATGGTCAGCTCTAGGAGAGCCATTTTAAGGCTATTTTCCTTTAAATAAGAACCATTTAGGATGGTCCCTTTTTCACTAGGGGAGGTCTGTATTATTAATGTCGACCTTCAGGTTCTCTATCACCTCCATTCTCAGTAATCTCTTAAAACCTGACTCACAGATCACTGGATATAAGTACATCAAATTATTCATTCCTTAATATTGAATGCTAGCGAGAAGATTCTCAAAAATTTTTACTGCCTATTTGCTCAAGTAATTCTGCTTTGGGTAAGGACAGAATGTAAGAACTTAAAAAGACACTTCTGATGGTCATATGTAGCACCCTAATTGTGACTGCTTAGCTCACCCTATAAAAATACCTGAATTGCAGCTGATGTGGCAGAGGAAATAGAAATACAATTGTCCTGGAAGAGTGAGAATTTCCATTTCTCATCTGCTCTGTGGCCATCATAAATAAGGCTTTATTTCTTGTAAGCATTTCAACTGTACCTTGAAGCCAGGAATCAATACAATGAAAAAAGAAAATAGAACTTTTTGGACACAAATAGTTGGTTGCATAAAGCAGGATAAATTGCAAACAATACTCCATTGGTTATGGTATAGTACTGGCTTCTTTAAATACAACATGCCTATTCTTCTCTGTCTCATTGCAAAGCACATTTAGGTGGAGGGAGTACTTGGATGAGCATCTAAACTCCCTTTGGTATTTACTACTACAATTACCCTGAGGAACAGAACCCAAGATAACTATTTAAATGATATCTATCCTGTATCACAGTAGCTTCTGATTATTCCCTGAGTTGGTAGGATAATTTATCTCTACATAGTTTCAATGAAGACAAGAATACTTGAAGTAGAAGACTGAAGAACATTAATCCAAGGCCATTGAAATACAAGTTCTTATCCATGGGCATGTCTAAAGAACTGAGCTGCTCATTAGATGAAGAGGTTCTCTTCTCCCACTTGCCTCTCCATCTTCTGGAAAGCAATGGCACTTAGTGGACTTTAATGGTTTAGTATCTTATTCAATACTGCACAGAGATAAGTAGAAGCAGCAGTGTCTTCAAAATCATGCAGAATCTTTCATCTTCGTGGGAAGACAAACTTGCAGTCAGGACAGGTGCTCTCAACACAGTTTTAAGAGTATGTTTTAAGTCCAACATGTAGAACTCCTGTGTGCAGAAGTATTTTTTCCATCTTCCTCTATTATAACATCCTGCTAGTAGGTATGTTCTTACGTTTGCAGTTTCTGCAACTGAACTACCTTTGGGAAGAAAAAATGGTGTTCTCTTTCAGCCATTTCCCATGTGTTAGGAGGACCAAAAATTGTCCTCTATTATTTATTTAACACTAGTAACACAAAGAGTTCTGCTGTAGTCGTCACCTCTCAAAGCATGGAGTAATACAAGGGTAACGTCCAGCAATCTGATAGGTTCGATTATAGGAGACATTTAAACATGGCTTCACCTCTATAGGGACTGCTAGTGACATTCCAGAAGACTGTATATGACCTCGAGTCTGAACACCACTTTGTAAACCAGCTGGGCAGGTCTGCATTGGGTAGGCTGAGGTATGACTGCTTGACATAATCGGCTGACAGTTTTGTGGTGCTGTTTGAAGATACGGTAGAGGTGTTTGATGAGCTTGAATATAATGGGGTATGTGCTGCTGTGAGGGTAGACTGGTTGTTTGAAATAAAGTGTTATGGGCAGCTTGAGAACTATGTTGTCCTTTTTGCTTGTTGGCTTCTTTTACATCATTATCATGGGCGCTAAAATATAAAATTAAAATAATTATTTTCTTTTTTACTACCGAGGCTGAAATCTACCGTTCATCCGAGCCCATGTACAAGCAGAGGATTTTTTTTTTTTCCATTCATGCTTGTTGGGAATGGGCCAATATTTCTTCTTGAATGTAAGCGCTTCTGATACAAGGAAGATCTAGGGAAAACATATATACCACTACGTGCAGCAAAGAGACCATCAGCATTGTTTTAGATCCTGGCCCTAGATTTGATAGCCAGAACAGGATATAATAATATCAGCATTAACAACTTAGACAAACAATTTGCAAAACAATTGCATATGCTGTTTTAAAATGAACTTTTTCATAAATAAACAGATCTCTAAAATAAGACATATGGAAAGCTTATTTACAGTAGTCACCAGAAATAATATGGTTTGATAGAAAGTTAACCCAAACTAGCTTGATCCAAAAGTCAAAAAATGGTTCATGTGCTTTTGAAACAAAATTTCAATGCCAATCTTCTTACAACAACATAATCTGGTACAGGAGCTGGACTTACCATGAAGCACCTGTCTGGTAGGTGGTAGATGGACCTAAGAGGAAAGATCAACTGCACCTCTTCTAGCTAGAAAGCAGGTCTTAAGATTTTCTGTTGCCTGGTGGAACAAACCCTCCCTTCAGCCACAAGCATTGACTTCAGTGGAGTGTGGTTCAACTCCTTCTTTACTGACTATATCACTGTAACAACAAACACTTGTCACTGGCAAAAGTACAAGGGAATAGAAGACGACTGTGTAACATTCAGCATAAGACAGTTTCTTGATCCTTGGCTGCTTGCTTTCTCTCTTAACCTTCTTCCCAGAGGCGTCTGCAGAGTACGGTAAAAAAAAAAAAAAAGTCAAGATGGTGGCCAGGGTGGTGCACCTGAAGCTCTGCTCATTTTTTGTGTGTGGTTGCACCACGGAGGCTGCCATCTCAAACTTTCTGAGCACATCTGCAGACTCTCCTAAGTATGGAGGGAATGTTGGGTACATCTTCTGGTGGCCAAAGAGATACTTCACAGTAAGTCCAACTTTCATTCTTAGTCACTGACGATAAAGCCAACAGGAAAGGGATTTACCTGAGTCCTATGTAGGAAAGTAGAAGTGAGAAGTGGCACATACTGTGGTGACTGGAAGCGTTGTCCCTTGTCCATCAAACAGAACAGATCCTAAGATAAGATGCCTATTTATGCAATGTATTTGCCACTAGCCCTTCTCCAGTCCTGCCTGTATGAAGCCCAATAGTGCAAGAATCCCTAATACTGGAGAAATTAGTTTTGTCTTTTGCATCACTATTTAAAAGGGTGCGAACTGATTGTGGCTGGTTATTTGAAGGCATGATAGTCCCTATTGCTAAGCCTGGAAGATTAGTGCTTAGGAGATGTCCTCATTCAAGTTTCAGTCCTATGATTGTAGCTGTTCTGGGTGTGGGTGTAGTATTGGACTCTGAGATAAAATGTCTGAATGTTTCAGGAGGTGCCGTGAGTGTTCCTCACTCATCTCTGCTAGTGCTGAAAACCAGAGTCTTTTGGGCCAAAGTAGAATAATTAGAATTACCCATCACTTGAGCAGCTTGGTTAGCTTCACCTTGATTAGCTGTGGAAAAGGAAGAATGTGTAGAGAGCAGTCTTTTTGGCCATAGCTCCACTAAGACATCGACCCTCTCTGTTATCTTGGAACCAGGAGAAGTGCCTCACTTGTTTGTTGTCTGCTGCCAACCGAAGGGTGTCCTCATCTTGTGGAAAACCTCTTGACATAGTACCCATCCTCTTCGTGACAGGTGCTGGTAATTCAACCAGTCTGCTGTGGCATGGAAGGGCCTTTATGTATCTTCATCCATATTATTAGAAGTGTGTTCTTCTTCTGACGGTCCCTTGATATAGACTTCTCTCAATGGTCTAAATAGGCTTTTGTTGCAATGCTGCCTGTTTGCATTAGTGAGTGGCACCTGCTTACCTGATCTGATAATGTTTTCAGAGTCAGTCATATTGCTGTCAGCTCCAGATGGTTAATCAGTGGTGTTTTCTCATAATAGGACCACATTCTCTGCACTGACCTGTTTTGAAAATGGGCTCCTCACCCTATAGCTTTAAACTCTCTGAGTGACATCCGCCTTGGTAGATTGGCTCAGAATAGCCACCAATTCAGGTATGGGTATCATGTTTGACATCACTATGGGCAGAAGGATTATGCTGGCGATTTGGTCCTAAAGTGGAAGGAGGAGCCATTGTAGTTCTCTGGAGTAGAAACACCCACAGGAGTGAATCCAGTACAGTACTACAATCATCATGCCCTGCAATTATCATACCGGCTGGCCTGCTGGATGCTAGTATCTCTTTCATAGTTACTTGAAGCTTGAGAGTATGCTCTTAAGATAGAATCAGCTTCTTTTCCTCCATGTCCCTGGTGACCCCTAGATGTAGGACTTGTTTGAGTGGTTAAACTTACTATGAAGTCATCTTCCTGGAAACCATGGAGGATTCAACAGAGACTGTTCCTGCTTTCAGCTGAAATGGATCACTTCCAATGGGATGGCCCGAATAGGAAGCCAAAGTAGCCTTCTGACAGTTCCACCGAGTCTAGGACGTTATTGGCTATCATGAGTAAGCAGAAGATAGGGAAGAATAAGACTCACTGGTTGAGCTTCTGGAAGTGAAGGTGACTGCTTCCCTTTTCCTCCCACCTGACTAGAAGCTGCCTCTTGTTCCAACAGGCTGTTTTAGGATTGCCAATAGCCCATCTCTGGAAACTGCTTCAACTGAGGGGAAAGTAAGCTTATTGGGACTCCTACGTGAATAGAGAGGGTCCAACCAGAGTCTTCCTCAAACTTTTGAGCCACCATGCTGGCATTGCTAGGCTGGCTGGTGCATCTCTTGTTCTTCTATTGAAGCCTATCCCCCCAGTATACTGCTGCACCAGTGTCCTTTGGTTCTCCTGTTGCTGTTTGGTATTATGCTGATAGAATAGAGGGAGACCTTACACCAGTGTTTCTCAACTTTGGGAACTTTAAGACATGTGGATTTCAACTCCCAGAATTCCCCAGCCAGCATGATGCCTTATCCTTTGGGGGTGGGGGTCTTGTCCTGCCATATTGCTGATGCCACCACTCACCTATTCCTCCATTTGATCGCTTCTGGTTGTTGCTGTTTTCCTGTTTGGCCTCAGCCTTTCTGCTGGCTGGCTAACAGAAGGAGCAAGGGGAAAATCCACCACTCTCTGTTTGCTTTTGGATCTACCATGTAGCCCTTGCTATCAGTGCTTCTGCACATTGCTCCATTCTCTTTCCTCCCCCCCCCCCCCCCCCCCCCCCCCCAACC